TACTCTTTAAGAGTTGATGGATATTTTGAGGGTCAAGTCTGGATTTAGTGTTTAATTTTCTGTTTATTGAGGGTAAATGTGGTCTTTAACATCCATGACATGTCAAAAGGCTCCTTAATGTTCCGTACTCTATGAATGTTTGTTATATAGCTGAAAAAGGATTGCTTAAATACAATCGATTAATAGGATGTTTTTTAAAATGTCTTCACGGTGATAGAAAAACATATAGGTTCAAAAAGTCTCGATAGAAATGAATAAAAACCCTATAACCCGAGCGCTTTCAAAAGGTGGACCTTTTAAAATGTCTGAAACTTTTTGATTGTTTTATTGATTACTGATAATTAACTACTAGTATAATATCATAATTAAAAATACATGTCCACATCAGTGTTGGGCAGGAAAATGATGAACACTGTGAAGCTATTATTATTCTTCTAGCTTCACCATTGTCAATCTAACGATAAACAGTACTTGTCCTGTGTATTCTCATCCCTACTAATACAGAGGCATCTAAAATATGATATTCGACAGAGTACATATATCAGGACTTTTCTCACTTTAATCTGTTTTAAACACTAGCCGTTGTTGGTAATAGATCGGTGATTGTGAAAACCTTCTGTTCCCATCAAAATAACTTTCTTTTTCCAGAGGTGCCTACTTTAACATGCTACACTTCTGTTTTTCCTCATGATGAAACTTTCATTCATTTACATGGGTTTTAAAGAAAAGATCAAAGTTCACATACTTGAGCCTCTCTTACATTTTTAATAGTCCAACAGACAGATGGCAAATGCCTGAGGATTGGATAGTTCCTAACGTTATTCATGTTTGTTTATTTTTTAATGGTGGTGTTGAGGTTTCCGTGGAAATTAGAAGCCGGGTTAGTTATACTTCTGTAGTGGGAAAATTCAAATCTGATTAATAAACTTTGCAAAATCATTTAGTGAAATATGGTTTAAAAAAAGCCAACGTGGATTCACAAAAGAGAATAAGGTTTGGAGATGGCTTGAAAGAAACTTTATTACAAATGTTCGATATTTTGACAAGCCGATGAAAACAAAAGTTTCTCAATGTTGTGCATTTCTTATAAGGTTTCTTTCGCTGCACATTCAAGCCATCTCCAAAAAAAGTGGGTTTCTCATCATCAAATTTAAATTCACTAAAGAGAAAGCCGTTAACTTGTTATCTGGTCATTTGAGAAAGTTTGGATTTATCTCTCTATTTTCTTCTGAGGGTATGAGGGAATCTTACCGAAATTTACGAGATTATCCACGAGATCAATAAGAGAAAACTTTCTGATTGGCTTACGAAATGTATTGCCATTGGCAGTAGTGGAGGATGGCACCTTATGAGAATTTAAAAAGGGGAGGCTCTAACTTCTTGAAGAATAAAGGGAAGTTTTTTGTTTGTTTTTTTTGCAGTGCTGGGTGTATGGGAAGCTGTTGAAATACCAAATGGTTTCTTATTGTCTATATGTTATGATATTTAATGGTTGATTATTCCTCTCCCATAAAATTTAAGTTTGACATCATTTAAAAATTCATTTAGTTCAGAATTCTTAGTCAAATTAGTACTTGTATTACCTCTGATTTTTGTTTGATTGGCTTAAAGCCATACAATGCGGGTGGCCAAAAATACATGTATACATATTATTACTCTTTTTTTTGTGTACCAAGATATTGTTAAATTAGTATGGTTCTTATAATTGCTTCTTTAGGCCATTCAACAGTAATTTTTTTGAATGGAATGACTGAATTATAAACATTTGTAGCAGAAGGTAGCCTTCAATTAATTAGTATGGTTCTTATAATTGCTTCTTTAGGCCATTCAACAGTAATTTTTTTGAATGGAATGACTAAATTATAAACATTTGTAGCAGAAATTAGCCTTCAATTAATTAAAGTGAAATACATGAGCTGGATATTATTTAATATTTGTTAATAGAAGGAATTACTGGTGCACCGATTAAGATTTTCTTGACCAGTGATATTAACAGATGGTTACCCAACCACATGGGCTAATACTGATACATATCATTAGTGCAGGTAAAGGACTTTAAATTAATGAAACAAACTAAAATTTATTATATAGGTGATTTCTTTTCTCGTTGCAATAATAACAACAGTACACAAATAGAATAAAAGTCATAAAGTTTTTAAAAACATAATGGCCATAAAAAGATTTTTGAAAACATACTTTGCATTAGTGCTTTTAGAAACACTTAGCAAGTTAAAAAAAAACATGCAAGTATATTAACTGTTACTCATTAGTTTGTTTCTAGTAGAAACTTTATACACATAACCTTAATTATCAACTTCAACAAAAAACAAAAGTCAGCATAAAACTATTCAGTTTATTTTGCAAAATTTAATTTAACTTTGCCACTTAAAAGAGCAATATATGGCGTTAATATAAAGCAATGCATGTACGTTAACAGCAGTACAGATCGAGACAGAAAAAAATACAAAAAATGTAGTAATAGCGGTAGTAGTAATAAAACTTATGATAATTTTGAATAATTCACTTATTTCAGTAATAAAAAAGATAACATCAGAATTACACTCATGGCTTCCAAGCTGTATTTTGTGCGAGTGGAAGGTCATTCTTCGCAAAAAGCAACATTTCTACTTTATCACACATCGGTCTGTTCTTCTCATCCACAAAATGTGAGGCAACATTGTAGTTTTGTGGTTTTTTTTAGGCTTAGGCTCATGCAGGTGACTTTCTCTGAAGCAGAACACTGCTGTTAATTCCATTAGTTTCTACCCCACTGGCACTTTCTTCTAGTATTTCATCATACATTGAACATGGACTGCTGCTGGGTTTTGTAGAAGTGCCATCATCTGCTTGCTTTGATTTTTTTGTGACAGTTTTTTGTTTCAGTTCTTGTGTGTTCTATTTTTCTTTCATTTGTTAGACGTGTGTCAACATTTGTGTAGGTTTTTGTCAGTGTTGATAAACTACTTGTTCTTGTATCTTGAATTCCAGCAAAGTTTATTTTCATAGTCTTAATTTCATGGTCTGTGTCTGTAACATTGATCAACAGTCTTTTTAAAGCCACTGGATGGGATAACATCAGGCCATGGAGGAATGTGTTAGTTTTTGAAAAACCATTAGGAATGTTACTACTCTTTCAATCAACCTCCATCGATGCTCATAGTCAGTAGCTTAGGCTCCAAGAGTATGATTCTGCTCCAAGAGGTTTTCAAAGATGTAGTAAGTACTCTTCTACCATGTCAGTATGTCTTGTTGTAACCTCTTGGAAGGCATTCTGATCTCAGCCTGTACCCACCTTTGTTCACAACATCTGGTTTGTATGTGTTATACAAGACAACTTGGCAAACCAGAGTCTAGAATTGCCTTCCAATATTTCTTGCATTATCCCTGATAATCACATGAACTCTGGTACTCGGAATGTTTCAAACATTTTATCAAAGGCTGTTGGAATAGTCTCTGCCATATGGGAACTCCAGAACCCTTGGACTTGTAGTACTGCGTTTAGTAAATTGTATTTAATGTCTATCCAATGTGAAACAGTGAAATTAGCTCCACATATCAGTCATAAAGCTTAGTGCCAATACATTATCTTCAAACATTCTAAAACAGCACTGTACAAGTGTAGATAGTGTGCATGAAAGAAAGAATTTATTACATATTTCTTGTGTGTTCTTTATGAGGTGCTTTTCCAAATCTTCCACAGAAGTCAGATCTTGTTTCTTCTAATGTTTTACCCGTGTAATTCCGCTCATGTACCCTGTCCACTTGTGACTAAGTGTTCTTTTATTGAATAGTTACATGAATCTACCATGTTCACCCTTAATAAACCTGAAAAGAAAATAAATCAGTACTAAAACACAAAAATCTAAGTGTTAACATATGAGCTTTAAGTGAGGGGGGGGTGCCCAAACTTTTAGCCTACCTTGTATAGTTCTGGCAGCACTTTGTAAAACATCAACCTTCTGAAGTGTGTGATGAGGCTCCAGACATTCCACGAGATGGTGGAATCTAGTATCAGCTACAGCCAAAAATGGCTGATAAAACAGAGCTATAAATTCCATTAAACATTTGGTAATTTATTTTCGTGATATAATTTCTTTGAATATTTTAATGAGTGCTTGCTTTGGTTACAGTTTCTATCTAAGGCTGGTTCTGCCTCTTTCTTTTCATTCCCCAACTTTTTGCTTCTATGCAAAATTCTTTTAGCATATGTTTGAAATCATTTGTTCTGTTATTGTTTTCAGATACTTAAGCAAAAATTCCAAGCCAGTGTTTATGAGACATATTTACAGCACCTAGTGATCATATTTACAGCACCTAGTGATCATATTTTGCAGACTGCAGCAAATACATTCTTTTCTTAACTGCTTATGCATTACAACATTTTATGCAACAACAAACAACAACATCATCAGGGTATATTATTACCTACAACAACAACAACATCATCAGGGTATATTATTAGCTACAACAACAACATCATCAGGGTATATTATTAGGTACAACAACAAAATATCGGTATATTATTAGATACAACAACAAAAAATATCAGGGTATATTATCAGGTACAACAACAAAAAATATTGGTGTATTATTAGGTACAACAACAACAAAAATATTGGTATATTATTAGGTACTACAACAACACAACAAAAATATCGGAGTATATTATTAGCTACAACAACAACAGAAATATCAGTGTATAATATTAGCTACAACAACAAAAATAGCCAACATCCCATAATGTAGTTTTCCTTATGTCAGTGGCAAGTCAATAGTTTGCAAGTATATCGATACACTTCTAAAGAAAACTATGTATGAATTTGACGTGGAAGAAATGTCATTATAATTCTGTTGTTGCTTACACTAACAAAGGTACCCACAACAGGCATGGCACTTATTTCATTTGTTTCACGTCTCTGGCAGAAAGGCATGTGTTTCATTTGTTGATACCAATGTAGCAGCAAGAGGGAAACTTGAAATGGCTGTCAAGCTCATAAAAAATGAAAAAACTCAGTAAAGTAAGTGGGGGGGGGGGGTAGAATAATTCAAAAACATGTCCAACAACCCCAAAAAAATTCTATGGTGATCAGAGGTTCATCAAGGACAAAAGTCGCTTTATAGAAGTAACTAAAGTTTTAATTAATTGTTTCTTTATTTTCATTTTGATGAATTCTAGAAGTTCACAAAGAGAGAGAAATTAATTACCGAGTCGCCACGTAGAGATAGCTAAATAATTGAAGAAATAACAAACAAACAAACTAAATCTATTATCTTAATATTTGTTGTGTTTAGATTTGTAATGGAAAAGTAAGTTAAGTCTTGAGATTATATTTCATATATATATATGATTTTTTACAGCGTGAAAAGTATGGAATTAATTTGAGTTTAAATTTAAGATAACATAAAGTTTGAGGACGAGGGACCTATTGGTCCATCTACTCCATTCCATTCACGAAAACTCTTAAATTATCTGCATTCACAACATTTGAAGGAAACACTTTTGAAAGGTCGACCAACGTATTAGAAAAATAAAGCTGTCTTAGCCGAAGATGATACTTGCACTGCCATAATGTATACTTGTGTGTATCCCAGCCTTATAATTTTCACCATTAAATACAAAAAAAGATGATACATCAACACTATCAATTCCCTTAAATCTTAAACACTTCAGTCAGATCAAGAGAAAACAATGTCAAAATTCTTGACCTGTCCTCGTATGACAAGCTTTTAATCCCAGGTATCATCCTTGAAGGTCTAAAACCTTTTAATCCCAGGTACAATCTTAGAATCTCTCCTATAGCATTTACAAATCAATTAATCATTTGGCTCATTAATCACTTGTATTCAACTCATTGAGTTTGGATACAGCTTGAATGGGTAGTAAAAAGACACTTTATTACAAAAGTTTGTGTCATCGTCAAGTACAAATATTTACATAGACACGGGAATGTATTCAGTATGGAACAAAGAGGTCACATGACTGTCAATTGCATATTAGCTTAATAAACATGTCACGGTATCTCGGGGTGTTAGTTTATAGTAGGGCTGTTTTGTTCAATTAAGATAGCTCCCTTATTTTGAATTTGTTAATGTTTTGTTCTTTGTTTAAAATTACAGTGTTTTGTATAGATATACTGTTTTTTTGGTAGCTTTTTTTTTTTTGCACTGCAGTAGTAGTAAACATGGGTGGGTTGCAACTGTAATTTTAAACATCAAGGAAGCAACAAAACAAAACCTTCTCTAAACCAACAAACTGGGATACAAAGATACCTTTACTAAGCTGTTAAGCAATCTCCTGTCATGTGACCGCTTTGTTCCATACTGTATATATATATTCCTGTGTCTATGCAAACTACTTGTACTGATGATGACATAATCTTGTCAAATATTGTACATTTGTGATAGTGTCTTTCACTACCCATTCGAACCATGTCCAAACTTTATTTTAGAAAAGTGGGTTCCTCATCATCAAATTTGAAATCAACTAATTGATTGTCTTCATGTTATTTATCTTCCTATTTTCAGCCAGTTTTGGAACTTCACTTAACATTATAGACGTCTTCAGTGTTTCCATTTTTTTGATAAACTTATTTTGGCCCAAACTGGACATTTCCTACTTGTTGATTCCCTAATTTCAAGATTACAACATTGTTGCCAGTGGTCTTTATATTATATTACATTCTACTCTGACTGATAATGGTTGTTGGAAAGAACTCTTTCAAGAATACACAAAATCTTACCAACAGTACTTATGTTCATAGCAAAAAATAATGTTAGAGCTTGCTAGGTGGAGCACTTATTTTAATCATTTTTTTGAAGCAACAACAAAATAAATGCCAGAAAGGCATGGAAATCGATAGTTTTTGTTTGTTTGAAAAATTATTTTATTTGAACACGGGCACATTTTGATGAATAGAATCTACACAACTACATTTAGGCAATCAAGCACATGGATACTTTAGGTTAATTTTCACTGTACAAAGAGAGAATAAGCTTGTTTGTTTGTAATTAAGCACAAAGCTACACGGTGGGTTATGTGTGCTCTGCCCACCACGGGTATCAAAACCCGGATTCTAGCGTTGTAAGTCTGCAGACATACCGCTGTGCCACTTGGGGGGGGGGGGCTAGAGAATAAACTTAACCGCACATAAATGTGTAAAATTAAACATTATTTTGTACTGAACATTGTAGTGAGAAATTTACTAACAATTTATTATTTTTTGAATTGGCAAGTGCTAATTCTACATATCTATCTTTATCGCATGTGTATTTGTCACACTGCACATTAATCTCCCAAAAACATTAGTCACCAAAAACATTAGTCACCCAAAAACATTGGTCACCCATAAACATTGGTCACCCATAAACATTGGTCACCCAAAAACATTGGTCACCCATAAACATTGGTCACCCAAAAACATTGGTCACCCATAAACATTGGTCACCCAAAAACATTGGTCACCCAAAAAATTAATCCCATGATATTGTTGTAAAATTGCTGGGAAAAATTAAAGTTAGTTTTTTTTCAGTATTTTTTTATTCAACATTATTATAGAACGCTATCAGAATAGAGAATGTTTTCGTGCATTTCATCAAATCAAGAATTAAGCTATATTCAGTCTTTTTAAGTTCATATCTGTTCTTTTTGCAAATATACATTGCTATTTACGTTCTTAATGCATATTTACTTCTAATAAGGCCTGTGTGTTATACGCTGAAGACCTTGTTTCTAATAATAATACATAAATATACACCATATATTACATATTTCAACCATTTTTAATTAACACTACCGAAATTCAAATTAATTAAATAATAATTTTCAATTTTGTCAAGCTAAATTAATAATAAAAAAATTGTATGATGTTCTTTTTTTTGTTTGTTTCACAGTAATATTTAGGCATTGTTGAACTTTGGTAGTGAAAGAAATCTGTTTTTTTTTAATTGTACATATAGTTGTATACTATTAATATGTTACTATTATCAGCAAGATAAAATAAACCATAAATTTCTAAAGAAGTTTTCTTTATATTTTCAACAAATTTTAAAATATCAATACTGTTTGCAAAATCAATAACCCCCAATTTTTCTCTGAAACACGTTATTTGTGGTTATCTTCTCAACACTGCGCGCATTATAAAAGTTTGTTGTACGGATACCACAGTTGAACTGTTCCACAGAGTCAGTCCATAATTCATGCTTTTAAAGAAAGTATTTGGATATTTGAAAGAATTTTTAAATCATCAAAAGGAAAACTTCTTCCTCATAACATGCGAGTTGTATTAACTGATGAATGTTAAGCTATTCAAAGATAACAAGTTGAGTGCTACTACAGTTATACACTCTTTGAGTTACCTTGAACAATGTTGTTAGAGAGCCATACTTTGATAAATTGCTACTCAAGAATGGACATTGGTATTTAATTGAATACAGTTATTTAAACATTAGTTTAACAACAAGTAAAAGCTTGGAATGGTCTATTCTTTCATTGGGGGGGGTGTCTGTGAGCCAGAC